TCTTCTTTGGAAAAATGTCTATTCATGTCTTTTGCCTGTTTCTTTTTTTTTAATGTTTTTATTTATTTTTGAGACAGAGGAGGGGCAGAGAGAGAAAGGGAGACACAGAATCTGAAGCAGGCTCCAGGTTCCGAGCTGTCGGCACAGAGCCCGACACAGGGCTCAAACTCACAGACTGTGAGATCATGACCTGAGCTGAAGTCAGACGCTTAACCGACTGAGCCACCCAGGCGCCCCATCTTTTTCCTATTTCTTAACTGGAGTATTTGTTTTTTGGGTGTTGAGTTTGAGAAGTTCTTTATACATTTTGGTTTCTAACCCTTCATCAGATATATCATTTGCAAATATCTTCTCCTATTCCATAGGCTACCTCTTAGTTTTGTTGATTGTTTCCTTCACTGTGCAGGAGATTTTATCTTCATGAAGTCCCAGTAGTTCATTTTTGCTTATGTTTCCCTTGCCTCCAGTGATGTGTCTAGTAAGAAGTTGCTATGGCTGAGGTCAAAGACGTTGCTGCCTACGTTCTCTTCTAGGGTTTTGATGGTTTGCTTTCTCTCACATTTAGGTCCTTCATCCATTTGGAATTTACTTTTGTATATGGTATAAGAAAGTGATCCAGTTTCATTCTTCTGCATGTTGCTGTCCAGTTTTCCCAACACCATTTGCTGAAGAGACTGTATTTCTTTATATTGGATATTCTTTCCTGCTTTGTCGAAGATTAGTTGACCATATAGTTGTGGGTCTATTTCTGGATTTTCTATTTTGTTCTATTGATCTATGTGTCTGTTTTTGTACCAGTACCATACTGTCTTGATGATTAGAGCTTTGTTATATAGCTTGAAGTCTGGAATCATGATGTCTCCAGCTTTGCTTTTCTTTTTCAAGATTGCTTTGGCTATTCAGGGTCTTTTGTAGTTCCTTGCAAACTTTAGGATTGTTTGTTCTAGCTCTTGAAAAATGCTGGTGGTATTTTGATAGGGATTGCAGTAAATATGTAGATTGCTTTAGGGAGTATAGACATTTTAACAATGTTTGTTCTTCCAATCCAGGAGCGTGGAATAATTTTCCATTTTTTTGTGTCCTCTTCAATTTCTTTCATAAGCTTTCTATAGTTTTCAGAGATCTTGTATCTCTTTGGTTAGGTTTATTCCTAGGTATCTTGTAGTTCTTTGGTGCAGTTGCAAATGGGATCAATTCCTTGATTTCTTTTTCTGCTGTTTCATAAGTGGTGTATAGAAATGCAACAGATTTCTGAGCATTGATTTAATATCCTGCAACTTTGCTGAATTCATGTATTAGTTCTAACAACATTTTGGTGGAGTCTTTCGGGTTTTCTACAGAGTATCATGTCATCTGCAAATAGTGAAGTTTGACTTCTTCCTTGCCAGTTTGGGTACCTTTTATTTTTTTTTAATTTTATTTTTTATTTTTTAAAATTTACATCCAAATTAGTTAGCATATGGTGCAACACTGATTTCAGGAGTAGATTCCTTAATGCCCCTTACCCATTTAGCCCACCCCCCTCCCACAACCCCTCCCGTAACCCTCAGTTTGTTCTCCATATTTATGAGTCTCTTCTGTTTTGTCCCCTCCCTGTTTTTATATTATTTTTGTTTCCCTTCCCTTATGTTCATCTGTTTTGTCTCTTAAACCTTTTATTTCTTTTTGTTATCTGATTGCTGAAGCTAAGACTTCAGCACTATGTTAAATAGTAATGGTGAGAGTGGACATCCCTGTCTTATTCCTGACTAGAGAGGAAGAGCTCTCGGCATAAATATGTTTTCCAGTGGCACAAAAGAAATTAAGTGCTAAGCAGGCTAAATGGAGGAAGAAAGTATAAATGTGTCTTTTGATTTAAGAATAAACTGGACTTTTTGAGGCATTTTTGTGAGTGGCAAATAGAATGCAAGCTTGCACCACAGGTTTTATCTAGACCGTCGACTCTTCATTTATGTACTGTTCATTGAATCTGTGGGCTCAGGAAAGGTGTAGGGAAGCTTTTTATTGCAGATTTTTTGCATTAAAAATTGGTACTGGTGATGTAAATATTGTCCAATACAGCAGGGGTTTAGAAGCTAACTTAATTATTTGTAAGTTTTATATTTATACTCATTATATATATTATATTAATATATAATATAATAATATATAATTATATGTATAATTTAAAGTGAAAAGCAGAACCTCTTCTGTATATTAATATGTATAATATTATAATTATATATATATACATATATATATATAATATATATAATTTAAAGTGAAAAACAGAACCACTTCTAAAACCATGACTCGGAATCCAGTGCTTAATATCTCCAGAATACATTAAAGCCAAGCGTGTGAGAATAAAAACACGACATAAGAATAAAAGGATGAGATTTTTGGCTGGGATATGTATCCAGAATACAGCATCAAAGTGACCAACGGGGTAAAACTGAACTTGATGACTCAGAGCATTCTCACAATCTAAAATCTCTTGCTGAGGAAATAATGTATAATTTTTCCATTTTAACGTTATCAAGAATCTCATATGTCTCATGCACTATACTGGTCATGGAAACATCTGTGATTCCCACTCTGGGTGAAAATAGTGTATTCATTATGTTGACGCTGGGGCACCTGGGTGGCTCAGTCGGTTGAGCGTCTGACTTCAGCTCAGGTCATGATCTCACAGTCCATGAGTTCGAGCCCCACATCAGGCTCTGTGCTGACCGCTTGCTCAGAGCCTGGAGCCTGCTTCAGATTCTGTGTCTCCTTCTCTCTCTGCCCCTCCCCCACTCACGCTTTGTCTCACTCTGTTTCTCAAAAATAAATAAATAAATGTAAAATTTTTTTTTAATTATATTAAAGCTTATTTGCAGTAACAAAGAGATTATAAGGTAAAGTGACTTAAATACTGAAGAATATTCCTCTCTCAGATAAAGTTGCTAATATCACAGCCCTTTGGAAAACCTTGTTGCTCATGTTTATTTGGGAATCCAGGTTCCTTCCATTACATAATCCGGCCATCTCTTGGGTTTGTGCATGCGTGTGTGTGTGTGTGTGTGTGTGTGCGCCACCTGCACATTTGTATCTGTGTTGCTGCCAAGGCCAGGTTTTAGTAAAGCAAGAAGGCCGAAGAGGGTATAGAGAAAACATGCCTACTGTCGCAGTGCGCTGACTTGAAAGTGGCAGCTATCGTATTCTCTCACGTTCTGTTGATGAGAACGTTGTCACATGGCCAAACCAATTTTCTCAAAGGAGGCTGAGAAATGCTATCATGACTGGGCAGCCATATGCCTGGCTACTTTCCTGTTATTGCAAAAGAATGCTGAAATAGGTTGTAGTGGACAGCTTTCAGTCTACCACAGAGAGCCGATCTTCTCTCTGATTTTATGCTTCTTGTTAGATGTGTATGATTTTAGGTCCAACAAAACAGTTATACCTAGATGGAGAGTTGGAGTGTGGATATCTACTTATTCTTTTATATAGGCCAGAATAGCTATCACCCCCAGTATTTTTCCTATAGGCGTAAGTTTTTCTCGATTTTATGGAGATTGACATACATCACTGTATAGATTTAAGGTGTACTGCATCATGATCTAACTTAAATACATCGTGGAAGATCAGCACAATAAGTTTAGTTAAAACCCATTGCATAAGATACCAAAAAAAAAAAAGGTTTTTTTTTCCTTATGATGAGAACTTTAATGATCTACTCTGCTGGCAAATTAAATTGGCTTTTTGATCACATTAATTTGGTCTAGTTGCTAATAAACAAAAAGGAACAAGACTAGTGAGGATTTAGAATCAAAAGCTAATGAGGACTTAGACTCTGAATCACCTCCTCCAAACCTAGTCTATCCACAGATTATTTTCCCTTAAAACCTTTGTCTTTTTTTTTTTTTTCAACATTTATTTATTTTTGGGACAGAGAGAGACAGAGCATGAACGGGCGAGGGCAGAGAGAGAGGGAGACACAGAATCGGAAACAGGCTCCAGGCTCTGAGCCATCAGCCCAGAGCCCGACGCGGGGCTCGAACTCACGTACCGCGAGATCGTGACCTGGCTGAAGTCGGACGCTTAACCGACTGCGCCACCCAGGTGCCCCAAAAACCTTTGTCTTTTAAAACTTCAGTCCACCCTACTTTATATCCGAGCCTCCTACCAAAATAGAGCTAGATTGGTTATGTTGAACTCCGATCTCCAATGCTTAATAACTTATGTTTTAGTGCAAATTATACGTATAACCATTCTGAGCTTTACTTTCCTTATCTACGATAGGTAGATAATAATAGAAATATCTAATAATAGAAAATACCTCAAAGGGCTTTTGAAAGGATTGAGTGAGTGTGTGTGTGTGTTTCTTTTTTTTTATTTTTTACTTTTTTTAATGTTTACTTTTGAGAGAGAGAAAGAGAGACAAAGTGTGAGTGGGGGAGGGGCAGAGAGAGAGGGAGACACAGAATCCTAAGCAGGCTCCAGGCTCTGAGCTGTCAGCAAAGAGCCTGAGGCAAGACTGGAACCTACAAACTGTGAGATTATGACCTGAGCTGAAGCCTGACGTTTAACTGACTGAGCCACCCAGGCGCCCCACTGTCTTGAAATTCTCAATAATGTGAAATTTTGACATTTTTAATGTTTATTTATTTTTGAGAGTTGGGGCGGAGGGGGAGAGCAGGCTCCAGGATCCAAGGTGTCAGCACAGAGCCTGACGCGGGGCTTGAACTTAGGAGCCACAAGATCATGACCTGAGCTGAAGTCGTACGCTTAACCGACTGAGCCACCCAGGCACCCCAATGTGTGTATGTATTTCTCAGAACAATGCTTGGAACATCATAAGTGTCATGCAGGAACTTGGCACATAGTAAGTGCTATATGTGTATTTCTTGTTATCACTGTCATTATCATCATCATATATACTGGTTTCCCTGTGTTCAATTTGGATTAGCTTATGTGTACCTTTTAATACCCTGCTATCTATTCTTTGTGTCAATTTTACTTTTTCTTTCTCTTTTTAGATGGGAGGCTTGGGATTAAGACCCCACAAAGAAGAATTTCTGGAAAAGCTTCATTTCATAGTGAAATGGAGGGTGAAGATACAACAGATGATTCATTGTATTCCATTTTAGAAGAACTGTGGCAAGATTCTGAACAGATTAAAAGATATCAGGAAAAACAGAGCAAACCTCTGAGTCATGCTGTTTTCATCAATAAGAAAATATTGAATACAGAGTGGGACTTTGAATATAAAGACAGTGGAAAATTTGTGCCTTCAAGCCCAAATCGTATTCCTTCACAGAAAAGACCCCATAAACGTGACTCATTTGGAAAGAGTTTTAAGCAGAATTTAGACTTACATACTCCTAGTAAAAACACTGCAACAAAGAATTTTGATAAAAATATTGGACGTGGTCAAGTTTTCACTCAGAGCTCTTCTTATACTAGCCATGCAAATACTCCTACAGGAGGGCAATTCTGTGAAAGTAATCAGTGTGGAAAAGTCCTCAGCCTTAAACAAGCATTCAGTCACAATCTGAAATTTCCTGCTGGGGAGAAAACAAATGTGTGTACTGAGTTTGGGAAGATCTTCACCCAGAAGTCACACCCCTTTGCACCCCAGAGAATCCATACTATGGAAAAACCTCGCGAACTTGGCAAATGTGTAAATGTTTTTACACAGAAGCCACTACTCAGTATATATCTGAGAGTTCATAGAGACGAAAAATTGTACATATGTCCTGACTGTGGGAAGGCATTCATCCATAATTCAGAATTAATTATGCATAAGAAAACTCATACTAGAGAAAAACCCTATAAATGCAGTGAATGTGGAAAATCATTTTTCCAGGTGTCATCTCTACTTAGGCATCAGACCACTCATACTGGAGAAAAACTCTATGAATGCAGTGAATGTGGGAAAGGCTTCTCCCTGAACTCAGCCCTCAATGTGCATCAGAAAATTCATACTGGGGAGAGACACCACAAATGTAGTGAGTGTGGGAAAGCCTTTACCCAAAAATCAACACTCAGGATGCATCAGAGAATTCACACAGGAGAGAGATCTTATATATGTACTGAATGTGGGCAGGCCTTCATCCAGAAAGCACACTTGATTGCCCATCAAAGAATTCATACTGGAGAGAAGCCTTATGAATGCAGTGACTGTGGGAAGTCTTTCCCTTCTAAGTCACAACTCCAGATGCATAAGCGAATTCACACAGGAGAGAAACCCTATATATGCACTGAATGTGGGAAGGCCTTTACCAACAGATCAAATCTCAATACTCACCAGAAATCTCATACTGGAGAGAAGTCTTACATATGTGCTGAATGTGGAAAGGCCTTCACTGACCGGTCAAATTTCAATAAACACCAGACCATTCATACTGGAGAGAAACCCTATGTTTGTGCTGACTGTGGCAGGGCCTTCATCCAGAAGTCAGAGTTAATTACACATCAGAGAATTCATACTACAGAGAAGCCTTATAAATGTCCTGAATGTGAAAAATCCTTCTCCAAGAAACCACATCTCAAAGTACATCAGCGAATTCACACAGGAGAGAAACCTTACATGTGTGCCGAATGTGGGAAGGCCTTCACTGACCGGTCAAATTTCAATAAGCACCAGACAATTCATACTGGAGAGAAACCCTATAAATGCAGTGACTGTGGAAAGGGCTTCACTCAGAAATCAGTTCTGAGTATGCATCGCAATATTCATACATGAAAGTAACCCTGTTTCTTAAAAATGAGAAAGCCTTATCACAGAAGTCAGGTCTACATGTGTATTATGAAATCTATCCAAGACAGACCCTACATGAATACACTGCGTAATAAAAAGCATTTTTCAGGCTCTTGCACCTGAGATGAGAAAAACTATTCCAGAGACCCTCTAAGAATGCATTGATTCAAAGGGACTTTTCATATTTGCATGGCTTCACAAAATAGAATCGAATCCTGTCAGTTTGGGGAAAATGCTGTCAGTTTGATGCATTAGGTAAAGCCTTCCTGTAGAAAGTGTGATAAGGCAAATTGTTACCCAATTCTTTATAGATGGAGCGAGCAAAATTATGTAAATGACAGTCATGTTTACTGTGTTATATTAGGCAATTTAAAGTGGCAACAAAGTGAAAGGAAGAACAACAAAATAATGTATTTGATGTGTAAACCTACACTCAGTTCTGTAGGGTGTTTGTGGCAGAACACATTGCACAACAGAAGGAATAATTGAATTGAAGTTCTTTTTTGAATTTAATATAATTGTGTCTGTCAAATATGTTTCCTATTGAATCCTCCCGCGAATCCACAGTTTTAATGTCATTATGGTTTTATATATACCCACATCTGCAGATATACTCTTACATGAACACATAAATATAATCCTATCATTCATACTGGTTTCCACAACATTCTATTTTTATCTTCTTTAATTGTGGTACAATGCAAAATAGCCACAGACCTCTCCCATCCTTGTATGCACACCCCTTTGCAATGTTACTCTTTTTTTCTTTTATTAAGAGGTAGAACTCTGTCTGCTCCTTGACTCTCGGCTTGGCCATGTGATTTGCTTTGGCCAACGTACATTAGCAAAGAGATTCAAGAAGAGGCCTGGAGAAAAGTCTGCCTTGAGGCTTATCTTCTCTTGCTGCTCTTTGGAATTCTGAGACCTTCCTGTGAAGAAACTCAAGAGTACTCAGCTGGAGGGTGAGAAGCCACATGGAACAGAAATGAGCCAGCACAGATGAGGCCTCTGAGACCAACTGCCAGACATGAGAGTGAGGCCTTCCTCAACCTCCAGCCCCAGCCAAACTGGCCCACACCAAAAGAGCCATACCAGTTAACCAGGCCAACCAGAATTGGGGGATAAATAAAATGATTCTTGTTTTAAGCTGCTAAGTTTTTGGTAGTTTGTTGCACAGAAAATGCTAAGCAATACCTAAAAGTGTATGCTTGCGGAGATATTGTACCAAAACCTAAGACATGTGGCATTAGCTTTGGGCCCGGGCGGCAGGTGGAGACTGGAAAAACAATGAGGAAAACTGTTAAGAAAGGCTGAAAAAGATGGCAGCTTATGTTATTTACTAAGGAAAAGAATAAAACAGTTACCATGCTGTGTGAGAAGATAGAGAATATACCAGATGAACTTGTGGATCTGGCTAAGGAGATTTCCAACAGAATGTTGGAAATATCAATTGGCTTCTTTTTAGCTGCATATGGTAAGGTACAAAAAGAGATGAACTAAGGAAATAACTGTTCCATTTGCAAGCAGAATTCAGAAGAAATATTTAAAAAGCCAGGACTTGCTGGGTTGGAAAATAACTATTTCTCACATCTCCAGTCTCTCCGGACATCAAAATATTCTCAAGGTGAAAAGTGGCCTCAGGGTAGAGATCAAATCATGGGTGTGGCTATAAGACCCTTTGTTAAAATGTGTGGAATATTTAAGTTGGTGTTTGGGAAACTCAGCTAAACCAGATGGCTTCTAAAAACTTCATGACATCGTCCAGGAACCTGACATATTGATAAAGTAGAGAAGGGGCCTGTCTTAAAAAGAATGGTCAGTGTGGCATTTGGGGCATGGAGTAAATACAAACCAGATTCATAGAACACCTATAAAGTTTCTAATAGAGTTTTACTACCTCCAGGTTGGACTCAAAGGAATTGAAACAGTCCAAAATGAAAAGTGGTCTCTGGACTACCTTTTCTAACTTCTATGAACATGAAGCAAGCAGAGAAAGTTATTCAGCTGCCATTTCTTATGGAAAAAGAAGGATGTCTCAGAAAGGAGACCCAAGAACAATATATTAAAATGGACTGGGAAGCTGTTCCCAGGTAGAACTGTGACCCAATCAAGAAACATCCTGCCCCTGGAGCAGGGAGATCTGACAACATTTGCTCTGTGGGATTTCAGAATTATTATGGAACAGTGACTAATATGTGCCTCTTGTTCCTCCCTTCTTTTAAATGAAAGTGTCTATTGCAGTTCTCCAGTCCCTACCCTATCTTTCCATTTGTGTGTGTGTGTTTTGAGTGTCTGTGTGTGTGTGGGGGGGGGGGGGTGATGGTCATATAACCTACCATTTAGCTCACAGGTCTCTGGATCAAGAAACAAATTGCACCCAAGGAGCTTCAGCCACATCTGAACCTGATACAGAAGACTTGAGGTCCTGGATTTGATGCCATAATTTGGGATAAGACATTTGGAGGTCTTGGAATGAGGATGAACATATTTTGCATGGTGTGATATATAAATAGTGACCAGAAGATAGATTGTGTTAGATAGAAAAACGTTACAAATTTCTACCATCCCTATATGTGTGTCCCTTTACAATCTTTATTTTGCTTTGTGTTTCAGTTGGGATAACTTCTATTAACCTATCTTCAAGTTCACTAATTTTAACCCCTTCCCTGTTAGGTCTGTTTAACCCCTACTTCTGTTAGGTCTACTGATGAACCCATGAAAGGCATTCTTCATCTCAGTTATGTTTTCTTTTTTATTTCTAGCATTTCCATTTGACTCTTCTAGTTTTCATTTTTCTGCTGAAATTCCCCATCTGTTCATACCTGTTGTTCACACTTCCCACCATCCTCTCTAACATATGAATCATTGTTATTTTAAATTCCCTATTTGATAGTACTAACAACTGGGTCAGCTGAGTCTAGATTTATTTTTATTGCTCTGTCTCTTAACAGCAGATTGTTTATTCTGTTTTGCATCTAATAATTTTTGGCTGAATGTAAGATATTGTATGTAGGAGAGTAGAAACTGAGATAAAGAATATTTATTCCTGGAAATAATCATGGCTGCTCTTTTGATAAATCATTAGAGAGGAAGGGGGGAAGGTCCATCTAGTCAGAATTTGGGCTGGATTTAGGTTTTGTTGTTGCTGTGGTTATCTTCATTGTACCATAGACTTCAAATTTCTCTAGTATTACCTTGGGCTTAATGTAGGCATTGGTTTTACAGATCATTTTTCTCAATATTCTTGCACCACCCTTGCCTTTAGACCTTTCCCGTGTGCCTGCATCTCAGGGAGGATCTCTCTCCATGCCCATGTCTCTCCCTTAGTAGTAGACTACTGTTATTACTTGGGTCGTAGTGACCCGATGAGTAGGGGGCAGGAGTTGTCCTAAACCAACCTTAGTTTTAGGCAGGCCCTGTATCCCTAGGTCTTGAGGGTGGTGCTTTTTCAGTGATCCTGCACCTCCCCGTTGGTAACATGCCTTTAATGGTCTGAGCTCAGGATGATTACCTGCCCTTCCCCCAAGAATGGAAGTTTTTTTTTTCCCTTTTCCCTTTTCTCTAGCCACAGTGGATCTGCACCTGTATCTGGGAACAACAGGGTTTGCATCACTTCTCTTTAAGTGGCTTAAGGCTTTTGTTCATTAAGGAAATAGGGTCCCATTGGGGCTTCGTGCTATTTCTGTATCAGCAGCTTTCCCCTTGCAGGCCTATACCACTGAGAGAGGCTTTCTCCAGTCTCCTTCCCTACCCCCATTATTTCTTGTGAGGATCCAGTGGAGGTTTGTAGGGAAGAGCTTGCAAGTGAAGGCCAACTACCTTTAGGTCTCCAGCCCTCAGTGCTTCTATATTCTCATATTACCCCACACTCAGCCTTTAGAACTTCATTAAAACTTCTTGCTGAAATTTTAGCTGCTGGCATGGTGGGCCCATATTCCTTCTTGCTTTGCCACAGGTGATCCAGGGACAACTTCGTGTCTCCCTTGAGGCACTTGTCTTATATATAAGCTAGTTGGTTGCTCTATGATCTTAGTTCTCTGGTGAGTTCAAGAAAAGTTATGATTTTATAGATTACCCATATTTTCTTCTTATTATAAGAATGGGAGCTATGCTCTTTCCAGATGTCTATATCCTAGGCAGAAGCCAGAAATCTGGACGGTCTCCTTTGGCCACTAGCAGCAGAAAATATGCCCCCCCCCACCCTTCAATGTGACTCTTCCACTTCACCCATCAAGAGAGAGAGTCTATTTCTCCATCCCTTGAAACTGGGATCGCCATTTCTTTGGCCAATGGGACATTAGCAAATATAACATAAGCAGAGGTTTGATAAGTGCTTGCATATTGAGGTTTGCCCATTCTTGCTCCTCTTTGGAATCCTAAGGACAAGGGTTGTGCTATTAGATGATGAGAGACTTCATGGAGCAGTGATGGAACAGAGATGACCCATCCCAGTTAAAGTTCCCTACGCCAACCAGATTTTCATCTGCCAGACATGCAAATGAAGCTATACTAGCCACCCAACCCTAGCCACCCACAAGCCCACTGTGGTCAGTGTCATCTGAGCTGACCCTGCATGATCCACACTTCCTGGTATCCACGCCTTTTTATAATCTCCTCCTCAAGCTTGGGCTGGATTTAGTGACTTGATTCTAATAAATAGAATGAGGCTGAGGCAATGGGATGTTACTTCCAAGGTGAGGTTACAGAGGGATGTGGCTTCTGTTTTGGATACTCAGATGGCTCACCCTAGGGGAAGCTAGTTGCCATCTCATGAGGCAGATCTATGGAGAGACCCATGTGAGTGAGTTTGGGAACATATCCTCCCAGCGTAGCCTTCAGATGAGAGCCCCAAATGACAGTCTTTTGAAGATCTTCAGCCAGAGGCACCCTTCTGAGCCTCACTTGAATTCCTGACCCACAGAAACTGTGAGATAAATATTTGTTGTTTTAAGCTGCTAAATTTTAGGGTAACTTGTAACATATTAATAGATTAATAATACACTGACCCAGACTAGAAAAACTCTGCCATCCATCTCACCCATCCCAGACAACTCACAGAATCATGGATTAAGTATTGATTGTTTTAAGCCACTAAGTTTTGGGTGGCTTGTTACCCAGAAAAAGGTAACTAATACATTTACTATTTACTGAATTTCCTTCTCCACTCTTCATCTCCAACAGATAAACAGTACTAATCAACTACTATGAACACTTTTCATGTTTTAATCTGTGCTCTTAATTATATATAGACATATGTATGTTACCATGCTTATAATCAGAGAGAAGCTATGTAAGAATTATTTTTTTCCTTGATTTTCAAATATGGGATCTTCTCATACAACTGTCTCTGCATCTTGCTTTATTCCCCAATAATAACTATTTTGAATGGTTGCATGATAGTTCATAGGGATGAAATAAAATAATTTATTCAATCTTTTTCTTATTAAGGTTTATACACCTGTCACTTCTCAGCCTTTTGGCTAAGATCAAGTGAAGATTTAGACACACACACACACACACACACACACACACACACACATCCTTTTTTCAACCTTTTGTTACTAGGAACAATGCAGTTAAAAATATTAAGAGTTAGTTTGTATAGTGGTTAGGTAGATGGGCTCAAGAACCTGTCTGCTAGGGTTTTAATCCTGGCTCTACTAGTTACTAGCTGTGTTACCGTAGGCAGGTTAGTTAACCTTTTTGTCCTATTTTCTTCAGCTTTAAAGGATGTTCACACTAGTACCCATCTTAAAGATTTGACATGAGAAGTGTATTAGCTTCTTAGGGCTGCTGTAACAAATTGAGTGGCTTAAAACAACAGAAATTGTTTGGTCTTACAGTTATGGAGGCCAGAAGTCTGAAATCAAAGTGTCAGCAGGGCCATGTTCCCTCTGAAATCCCTAGGAAAGGAACTTCCATACCTGTCTCCTGGTTTCTGGTAGCCTTGGGCATTCCTTGGCATTAGATAACATTAATCACATGGCCATTTTCTCCCCATGTATCTTCACATTATATTCCCTTTGCATGTCTGTCTCTGTGTCTAATCTTCTTCTTGTAAGGACACAAGTCATATTGAATTAAGCCCACTCTAATGTTAACTTGGTTGCTTTCTATAAAGACTTTTTCCAAACAAGTTTACATTGTGAGGTGCTGGGGGTTAGAACTTGGACATATCTTTTCGGGGAGACATGATTACCCATAACAAGAAGTTAATGCACTTACCTGTATGAAGCACTTAGAACTATGCATGGAGAGTTCTTGATGAATATTAGATATACCCCACTTCCTGTACCTGCTCAAGTCCCCCTATAATTCTCTGTGCCAGGGCAGGATATGAGAGCTTCTCTGTGGTGTCTTAGTCTCATCCAGTTACCTAAAGAAAATGTATTGGGTAACTGGAAAAGTAGGCCTCAGACCAAGGTTTTTGCTTCCAACGTTTGAGGACCAGGCCAAGAGGGATTCATCTATAGAGGATAACAGGAAGGAGCAGCCAGAGGTAAAAACATACCAGGTGAGGAAGGGGCTGACAGAAGACAGTGTTGGAAACACCGTGGAAGCAGTGCTTCAGCGGGGAAATTGTCCAGACTGGAGGTCAACTCATATGAGGATGGAAAACTGCTTCTTGAAATTTGTGACAAGGAGGTCATTGTTAACTTAGATGAGTGTTATTTAAATTTTTTTTAATGTTTACTTTTATTTTTGAGAGAGAGACGGAGCACAAGCGGGGGAGGGGCAGAGAGAGAGAGGGAGACACAGAATCCGAAGCAGGCTCCAGGCTCTGAGCTGTCAGCACAGAGCCCCACGCGGGGCTTGAACTCACGAACCATGAGATCATGACCTGAGCCTAAGTCAGACGCTTAACCTACTGAGCCACCCAGGTGCCCCAATGAGTGTTATTTTAAAAGTGAATTTAACTAAAGGGAAAAAACTTAGCAAACCTGACGGAATTTCTGAACTCAGGTAATGTTACTTCACCACAAAACTTTTTCAGTAGAAAAATAATTAGGTCATTGGGCTGTACTGCTCTGCTGTCTGGGTTATACTAAGAAATGCGTTTTTCAAGAGTCCTATTTGGCTCCAGATTAGAATTGTCCAGAAGTAAAAATTGCATGAGGTTTGGGAGGTCAAAGTGAAGGAATAACCATTACTCTACAAGTCTGAGATTAGATACAGTAGAGGACAGATGCAGAGGTACCCAGAAAGTTTTAATTTTTCCTCTCTCTCTTCCATTCTATATTCCATCCT